CTCTTCACGAGTATCATTTTATGTCCCACAGTCCAGTCCAATCTTTGTCTGAAGAGTTGGCCTCGGGAACTGTTTTAGTGTGGGTTGACAGAGAGTCCGGGGCCATGCCTTCTGGGGTTCCTCCAGTCTCAGACCATTAAGTCTGGTCTTTTTACTAGAATTTGAGTTCTGCACCCCACAGTTCCTCCGCTCCACCAGGGACTCTTGGCACAGTGTCTTTTATGAACTCCACAGTAAAAGTCCCCCAACATTTTTTCTGTCAGGATATAGTCCTCTTTAGAGAGTCCTAGCCAGTTTTACAGATGGTCCCTTGATGAACCTGCCTCAGCTCCCTCTTGATTAGAATTGACTAGGTGCCTTTTGGCAGGAGTATTACACAGGTGACACAGAACTCCACAGGACTTGCACCTCACAGCCTCTAGGACATCCCACTCCTTCTGTGCGTCTAGCCGGAGTCCTTCTTGAAGGCTCCTTGGCCTCTACGCAGTCCTGGGGAGCTCTGTAGTCTCCTTGCTGTCCAGCCCTGTCCCACCCCAGCAAACACTCAGTGACCTCCTGGCTAAAGAGTTGAATGGGTTGACTCTCTCCCTGACCACCTTGAAAAGTTCCTTGAGGCCAGGACAGGAATGATTTCCCCCCAAAGCTTGCAATTAACATACGCTTCTTTTCACTTAAGTTGGCTCGGTTGTGATGTGTTTTCTCATTTTATATTTCAGTGTATTCTCACCATCATAAAAAGTCGTAAGAATGGGGCTCCAAGAGACAGAAAGGGCCACAAAGACCAGGGACTCCATCAGCCTGAGACCAGAACTAGATGGTGCCCAGCTATTACCAATGACCACCCTGACAGGGAACACAACAAAGAGTCCCTGATGGAACAGGAGAAAAGTAGGGTGCAGAACTCATATTCTAGTAAAAAGACCAGACTTAATGGTCTGAGACTGGAGAGACCCCAGAAGACATGGCCCCCGGACTTTCTGCTGGCCCAGAACTGAAAGCATTCCCAAGGCCAACTCTTCAGACAAAGATTAGACTGGACTATGGGACATAAAATGATACTCGTGAAGAGTGTGCTGCTTAGCTCAAGTAGATACATGAGACTAAATGGGCAGCTCCTGTCCAGAGGTGAGACGAGAAGGCAGACAGGGTCAGGAGATGGTTGAACGGACACAGGAAATCCAGGGTGGAAAGGAGGAGTGTGCTGTCACATTATAGGGTGAGCAGCTAGGGTCACATAGCAATGTGTGTATAAATTTATGTATGAGAAACTGACTTAAACCGTAAACTTTCACTTAAAGCACAATAAAATGAATAAATAAATAAAAGAATGGAGCTCACCCTTCAGTGGTGGTCTGTGTTCTTACGTCTTTGAAAACTGTTTTTCTAAAACCCTAAAGAAGATTGGAATAGAAGGGATATTCCTCAATATGACTCCGGGCATATATAAAAAGCCTACAGACGATATTATACTTAATGGAGAAAGACTGAGAGCTTTCCCCTTGAAACTGGGAACAAGACAAGGATGCCTGTTCTCACCACTTCTATTCAATATTGTATTAGAAGTCCTAGTCAGAGAAATAAGACAAAAGAAAGTGATACAGATTGGAAAGTTATCCAGATTGGAAAAGAAGAAGTAAAATTATCTCTATTCATGGATGATATGATCCTGTACAAAGAAAATCCCAAAAGATTCCACAAGAAAAGTTCTAGAGCTAATAGAGGAATTTAGCAAAGTTGCAGGGTACAAAGTCAACAAACAAATGAGTTGAGGTTTTAGACAACATCAGTGAGAAATCTGAAGGGGAAATTAGGGAAACAATTCCATTTAAAATAGCATCTAAGAGAATAAAATACCCAGGACTAAATCTAACCAGGGATGTGAAAGACTTGTACAATGAAAACTATAATACATTACCGAAAGAGATTAAACAAGATTTAAATAAATGGAAAGATACTCCATGTTCATGGATTGGAAGACTTAATATTAGGATGTCAATACTACCCAAAGTAATCTATAGATTCAATGTAATCTCAATCAAAATTCCAACAGCCTTCTTTACAGAAAAAGAAAAATCAATCCTCAACATTGTATGGAATTGCAGGAGGCCCCAAATAGCTAAAGCAATGTTGAAAGAGAAGAACAAAGTAGGTCGACTCACACTTCCTCATTTTAAAACATACAGTAATCGAAACAGCTTGGTACTGGTATATCAACAGACACACAGATCAATGGCATAGGATTGAGAGTCCAGAAATAAACCTACACATCAATGGTCAACTGATTTTTGACAAGGGTGCTAAGTCCATTCGATGGGGAAAGAGGAGTCTCTTCAATAAATGGTGTTCAGAAAATTGGATTTCCACATGCAGAAAAATGAAACAGGATCCGTGCTTCACATCACACACAAAAACAAATTCAAAATTGGTTAAGGACCTAAATGTGCAAACTAAAACCATAAAATTCTTAGAAGAACAAACAGAGGCAATGCTGTCAAGCCCAGCCTTTAACAATGGATTATCTAATATAATAACAAAAGCACAAACAGCAAAAGAGAAAATAAATAAATAGGCCCTCATAAAAATTAAAAACTTCTTTTTCATCAAAAGACTTACCAAAATAATGAGAAGACAAGCTACCGAGTGGGACAATATCTTTGGAAACCATATAGCCAACAAGAATTTAATAACCAAAATATATATAAACTTTGACAACTTAACAACAAAAAGACAAATAACCCAATTATAAAATGGCCAAAGGACTTGACTAGACATTTCACCAACGAGGACATTCAAATGGCCACCAAACACATGAAAAGATGCTCAGCATCATTAGCCATCAGAGATGCAAATCTAAACCACAATGAGATACCATTTCACTCCCACTAGGATGGCAATGACTGAAAAAAAAAGAAAGAAACTAATGAATGTTAGTGAGGATGTGGGGAAATTGGAACCTATTATCCATTGCTGGTGGGAATGAAAAATGGTACAGCCGTTGCAGAAAACAGTGTGGCACTTCCTCAAAAAACTAAAAATAGAACTACCATATGACCCAGTCACTCCACTCCTAGGTATACACCCAAAAGACTTGAAAGCAGACTAACAGAGACTTGTACACTCATGTTCACGGCAGCACTACTCACAATAGCCAGAAGGCGGAAACAACCTAAACGCCCACCAACAGATGAATGGATAAACAAAAAGTGTGGTACATCCATATGATGGAATACTACTCAGCCTGTAGGCGAAATGAAGTCTTGATGCATGCTATGGTATGGATGGGACCTAAAGATATCATGCCTAGCAAAATAAGCGAATCAGAAAAGGACAAATATTGTATGACCTCACTTATATAAAAAGACAAGAAAAGGCAAAGTACAGAGACCAAAGTTTATCAGTGGTTACCACGCGTGGGAGGAAGGGAGAAAGGGGGGTTTAACAAAACAAATCATGCTGATTAAGGGTAGGGTTGCACAGCTGATTATTGTAATTGCTGTCAATAAGTTGTGCACCTGTAAGAAGCTGAATTGGCAGAAGTTATGTGATAGGTGTATTTACAACAATAACAAAAAAAAAAAAAATAGTAGCTGCTGAGGCTGCTTGCGTACAACCAAACACCTCATGGGATTTAGTTCCTTGGTTTGGAAGTTTAGGTCATGGTTTCATGGGACATCCCACTTAACTGGCCTACTAACGTGTTTAGTACTTCTGTTCAGCCTCCTAGTTTGTGGTGTAGTGCCTGAGATCTTGAAAGCTTGTAAGTAGCCATCCAAGGCATGAGAATTGGCTCTATTGGCCTGGAGCAAGAGAGGAAGTAGGAGTCAGGAACAGGAAGAGAATATGGAATGTTCAGCTAATTGCCTCCGTGAGCAACTGCTTCCTTTGCCATGAGACCAAAGAACTGGATGGTGCCTGGCTACCATTACTGAACATTTTGATCAAAGATTCCATGGACGAATCCTGATCAAAAGGAGGAAAATGCAGAACAGAATTTGAAATTCTCATGGACTCTGGACTTCAGAAAGTCTAGATTCCAGACTTTCTGAAACTATTGCCCTGAGATAATCTTTAAACCTTAAACCAAAAATATCCCCTGAAGTCTTCTTAAAAATGAACAATAGTTTAGCTTAACTAGCAGAAAAGGCCTGCCTTGAGCATTTTGCTGTTTTAAGAACTGTCTAGGGATCAAATTGACAATAGCAACTTGAAAGAATAGATAAGAATCTTAGGGGGCAGTGAGTTTATGTTCATGAGGGAGGACAACTCAGAAAAGGAGGGCGAGAATGGTTGCACAACTCGAGAATGTCATCAATGTCACTCAATGGTACACGTAGAAACTGTAGAGCTGGTGTCTGTTCTGCAGTGTATATTCCCAACAGCAAAATAAATAAAATTTAGGGAAAGAAAACAAACAAGCCAACACTGTTAATCTATCCTTCCCTAAAAAACAAAACAAAGCAAAACCAGTCCACCCAGAAACTGGCCAGAAATTGGCTCCCAGTGGCTTGAAAAATGTCACGTTGAAGCTGAAACTGTGGAGGCAATTTGAGCCTCCATCTTTTTGTGTTCCCTCGTGGGGAACGTTGAAGCATCTGACTAGTCAACACAGTTAACCTGGGCCCACCCTGGCAGCACTGGGCTAGTTAGAGAGAGAAGCCCGAGGGCTCTAAAACTGTGAATTCCCAACTCTCCTGCCACTTACTTTCTAAGGACACAGATAACCTGATGAATTTTAGAGAAAATACAGCAAAGGAAATAACAGTTTAAAAAGAAATCTGTGTCATCTATCAAGCAGTCCATGGGTGGCACAAACAGGTAAGCACTCGGCTACTAAACGAAAGGTTGGTGGTTTGAATCTACCCAGAGGTGCCTTGGAAGAAAGGTCTGGTGATCTACTTCCAAAAGGTCACATCCATGAAAACCCTACGGACAGAATCCAGATTTTCTGGAGCCATGGAGGCTGGATGAAGCCCCGAAACTATTGCCCTGAGATAATGTTTAAACCTTCCACTGAAAATATCCCCCGGGGTCTTCTCAAAACCAAACAGTAGTTTAGCTTAACTAGTAAAGAATGTCTGCCTTGAATATTATGCTCTTTTAAAATCTATCTATATGGGATCATACAGATAACAGCAACAGCAGCTCAAAAGATTAGATAGGAAACTAGGGGGCAGTGAGTTTATGTTAATGGGAGAGGAACAACTCAGAAAAGGAGGGTGAGAATGGTTGCACAAATTGAAGAATGTAATCAACTTCACTGAACTATGCACGTAGAAACTGTTGAGCTGATGTATGTTTTGCTATGTATATTCTCAACAACAGCAAATGAAATAAATTAAAAAAAAAAAAACCCGATGGAGCACAGCTCTACTCTGAAATACATGAGGTTGCCATGAGTCAAAATCAACTCAACAGCAACTGGTCCTTTGGTTATTGGGGAGCACAGAGGTAACCAATCACCAGGTAGAGGTTAAACATGAAGGAACTGCCTCTGTGACATATATAAGCATGGAGACCTGTTTGTGCTGGTTAATCAGAGGCAGCTCCATGTCTTGGCTGGGTGACATCATCAACTGCCTTCGCTGTGGCGTGGACGCTGAAGCCTTCTGTTTATTCCGGCACATGCAGACCAAGAAGAAAAGGCAAGCAATAACCAAGGGTATCGCAATGCTTGGAACCAGTATGTAGAGAATTCCCATTTTGCTGCTGTCTCGGGGACCTGTGAACAATAAGGGTTTCATGATTTTTCAGAAAAGTCCTCTTTGTGACTCTAAGTCCTCCACCGCCCCACTCCCCATCTCCAACTAAAATATTTAAATGCAAGCGGGCTAAATCGCATGCTGAACCTAAAACACAACTCAATGTACCTAAAAATGGACATATTGCTGTACATTTTTGAAACACAACCCAAAACTGCCCACTATGGAAACAAACTGGAATAGATGGCATAAAAAAAAAAACTGAACTCTCAAGGTTATCAGTATTAAATATTAACAATAACCACATTTACTTTTCTCTCCTAATGCATGAACACCATTGGAAATAGGTGTTCTATCCTACTTAACTTTTACTAAACTGCCCTTAGCCACTGACAAGCCGATGAAACACATCCGATACCCTTCACTCGGAACGAAACTCAGTACTAGGAATACGAGCGATTCTTTTCATCACTGAGCATTTTAGTGTTTTTCAAATTTGTGCATAATGAGAAGATGTCCTTTAAGGATAATAATTAAAAGTGCATTTGATGTAAGAGAGGCAATGAGTCCGCAGCCCCACGAATTATCCAATACAATATTCAACATGGGCACCAGAATTCTTAAAAAATGACGTGAGGATGTACAATCAGACTACGGCTTCCAGATCTCTTCCTTTATTTTCCACAGTGAAAAGTGACACTTTGTCTCCCTCTACAGGATTTGCAGAAAGTCACAGAAGGGCACACTCCGTGTCACGCTGAAGAACCCAGGTACCAGGTGGCCATCCTGGCACGCTGAGGCCAGGGTGATCAGGGTTCCGCTACACAGGGTGGAGGCTGAGCCTCCCTCTGGTGCTTGACGACCCAGAGCAGGCAAACACATCAAAGGAACTCCATTTTAAGAGTAGATGGTGTGATTTAAGGACAGTGGGTGGTAGAAGATCAGTTACCTAAATGGCCACGTTCCCACGTCCGTAAGGAACCACCGGGGTCCCTGGGAGCAGACTTCTCCTCAACCCAAATAATGACACCAGGTGTAGACACGCCTATGACTAGTGAACAACAAGCTCTCCACCTGGAAGCACGGGATTTTTGTTGATGTGACACCTGAACCAGTTAAATCAGGCCTCACGTGAACACTCTACTGTCACCTTAGTAAAACAAAACAAAACAAACAAAAAAACACTATTCTGACCTGAGTCTTGTCCCTCTCTGTCCCCCAAAATAAAATGACAAACGAAGCTCTCCTGGCCCCACCAAGCAGGTTCCTTTATGGAAGAGGCACTGGACACTCTGGCTCATTCTTCATTATTGCTAGTGGGGGAGTCCACGTCCCTCACACCAAGATCAGAGATGTGAGCACTGTGGAATCATGTGGATGGTCATTTAGTTAGCTTTCTAAAATTTAAATTGCTTAGTGGTAAAAATGGTGAGAGTATAGAAATGTGGGCTTTAGAAAGTGAATATTCTTTATTGCCCTTTTCATCAAAGGCTATTGTTAACAAGTTGGTGTCCCCCTAACTTTGTATATATATTTTAGGCTGAACTGCATGAAATAACCAATATTCAACTACTTTGGCATAACAGAAGCAATAGTTTCTTATGGTTTTTTAAAATAGAATTTTAAACAGGATTCATTTTCAATAGAATCACATCATCTATATTTTTCTCTCGTGGTTTTATGGCCTAATAATAATACCTAAGACAGTATTTCATGCCAGACCATATAGAGCCATGAAACATTTTTCAGAGCTGCACAATATTTCATTGTATGGATGTGTGTCAACTTTCCTATCCAACCACCTGTTGATAAACAATCCATTTCATATTTAGCTATGACAAATAATTCTGCAATGACTATCCCTGCATTTCTTCCCCATAGGTGCAAATATTTCTGCAATATAAGATTCCTAGAATTGCAAAACAATGTAATATTCTTTCCTTATGCATTATTTTTAATTATAAAAGTAATACTTGCTCATTGTAAACACATCTTATATTTGAACACTTCTGAAGATCATGGGAAACCACTGCTAAAAGTTTGGTGCGTATCTTCCCAAAATGTCATTCACAAATTACAGGTGCCTGAGTGTACTTAGGAACACCGGTGGTGCAGCGGTTAAGAGCTCAGCTGCTAACCAAAGGGTTGGCAGTTCGAATCCACCAACTGCTCCCTGAAAACCCTGTGGGGCAGTTCTATTCTGTCCTATAGGGTCGCTGAGAGTCAGAATCAACTCGACAGCAATGGGTTTGGTTTGGTTTTTGGTGTGTACTCACATGCAGGCATGCATACCTTTTGCTTATTCTTTCTTTTACCAAAAAACCATACCTAACACAGCTGTCACCCTACAACTTGTTTTTGTTGCTTAAAGGACATCATGGGAAGCCTCCCTTGCAAGTCTCACTGTTTTAAACAGCTGCAGCATTCCAGAGAGGGGACAAAACTATTACATAACTATTGACAGATAATTTTATTCTCAAAATTTATCCAGTAAATTGCACAAAAATGTGCAATAAATAGACATTCTTGAAAATCAGCATGTGAATGGCTGAGTCAAAGGGACTGCCAAATTTGGAACTGCCAAATTACATGTCAGGAAGGTAACTGACACCAGTTGTTACTCTCAGCAAAAAGAGGGTAAAGGCAGATGATAGCCGTATGAGTAACACCGCTGGGATGGGGTTCCCTGCTGAACAGTGAGCCTTGGTGTGCTTCACCAATTCATTTCTCTTTACCACTTGTCTTGTGGAAATTTCCCACAAACCCACTGCCTCCAGGTTCCAAAATATAAGACACAGAAGCCAAGTCTCAGCTATCCAGACCAACTGGAGCTGGTGAAACAGAAATGAGTGAAACAAAGAGATAATCATCATTTTAAAAAGGGCTCAATCATTAACCTCATGCCCTTCTCCTACGATAACTTTAACAGAGAAACTTGCAGGAAACATTGTTAAGAGACTTGAATTCTATTTTCTCTCGACTCTATTGAGTCTACATGTTAAAACTGAGAAGTTGTGGAAAGCTCAAAAGCTGCGGTCAGGGGTGAACAGAGAGCAGCAGGTGTTTGGTGCCCAACTAGTCCCTGGATAGAGCCCTGGTGGCGCAGTGGTTAGGAGCTCGGCTGCTAACCAAGAGGTCGGCTGTTGGAATCCACCAGGCACTCCTTGGAAACCCTATGGGGCAGCTCTACTCTGTCCTATAGGGTCACTATGAGTCAGAATTGACTTGACGGCAAGGAGTTTTATTTTTGGTTTTTTAGTTCCTGGGTGGTGCAAATGGTTAATGCGCTCAGCCGCTAAAAGAAAGGCTGGAGGTTTGAGTCCACCCAGAGGCACCACGGAAGAAAGCCCTGGTGATCTGCTTCTGAAAAATCGGCCATTGAAAACCCTGTGGAGCACAGCTCTACCCTGACACACATGGGGTCGCCAGGAGTCAGAGTTGACAAGATGGCAACTTTTTTGTTGTTGTTGTTAACAGATGCAGAGCTAAGGAGCTAGGTGTAATGAGAAGCATTTTTACTAACACTGGGAAATATGCATGCTATAACATTAACAAAAAAAAGATACCAGACTAAGTATCCCAAACTCATACACAGGGAAAAGGTTATGAGAGCACCCCCAGATGGAACAGCACTCACGTTTGGTGGTGAGACTAGGGGTGACCTGTACGTTATTCTTCAGACTCTTTCACATTTTAAAATGCCCTATATGACCCGACATTACTTTTACACCCACGAAACAGCTTTATGTAAAACATCTAATCATCACGGAGATAAAATGGGTATCACTGTCCCCACTCCACCAGGGCGCACCCAACAGTCAACACTTAAACAAAAAAAGGAAAAAGAGATCGAGAATACATACTACAGGACGGAACGTCACAGAGTTCCATGCGTACGTTTTTATTCTGGGTAAAGCACCAGGGGCCTTCCATCTGGCCGCCGGGGTTCCGGCAGTAGGCGTGTCCGCCTCCGAGCTCGGGGAAGTCGGCGCTGGACAAGTGGTGGCTGTGGGGGTGCTGCAGGGCCCACGCCTGGCACTGGTGCCCTGACTTGGTGGTGCTGGCGGTCCCTCTGTAGTCTGTGCCCGAGCCGTTATAGCACTGGTGGTCTGCAGGGGGAGACGTGTTAGGAGGCCCGAAATCAAGGGCGGAAAGACATCCTCGGGGGGCACAGACCCCACCCTTCTTCTACTATTTCAGAAATAACAAAGCCGCTGTAACATGCTCCCACACTGAAGTTTTTCAAAGGTCACAGGATTGAAGCCGCATGAAAAGCCACGATTTAATAAAGTCCCAGACCCACAAATTAAATGGAGGGCTCATCAGGGGAAGAAAACCCATCAGCAGTTACTCCATGGCCTTGAAGCCACTTCTGGGATCCACCAGGCACCCACATTCTGGGCCCCACCCCCAGCATGAGTGATGTCAACCCCACCCTCATGCTGGCCCTCCTAGAAGCAAAACCGAACGCTGAGGCAGGAGAGCCAGTTCCCAGCCCGGCCCCACTCTCAGACCCCTCCTTCCCACAATCACAGACAGACCCGTCACTTCCCAGTGAGGACCACAGGCTCGGCCACAGGTGGGCAGGAGCAGCGCGCTTCCACGGTGGAGACCCAGAACTTTCTATGAGTCAGATCCCGGGGACCCGCATTTGTTAAACAACGATTTGTAAGAACTACTCCAAGAACTTCCTAGATATTGTTGTTCTTAATAACTACTGTCAAGTTGCCCCACTCATGGCGACCCCATGCCCAACGGGATCAGCCCATTGTGACCCATAGACTTCTCAGTGATTTGATTTTTGGAAGTAGATCACCAGGCCTTTCTTCCTAGTCTTAATCCACTGAAACCTGTTCAGCATCACGGTAACACGTAAGCCTCTACTGACAGACGGGTAGTAACTGTACCTGAGGTGTACTGGCTGGGAATCAAACCCAAGTCTCCCGCACGGAAGATGAGAATTCTATCACTGAACCACCCCCAAGTGTCAAAATATTAACTTAGTCCATCTTCATTTCAGCTCAATGCTAGTACTACTATCAACCTCATGTAACATGAAGGAAGTGAAATCTGAGGCTGAATGAGGTGACTGGCTTGAATCACAAGACAAGCACGGGGCCAAGCTGGGGCGTGACCCTAGGCTGAATGGCCCCCAACCCTATGGCTCCTAACCCCAGTGACGGCTGACTAGAACAGGGAGTTCTGTTAGATAACAGGGACTGTTAGAATAGGAAGGGGCCCTGGTGGCCCAGGACTCGGCAGCTAACCGGAAGGTCACTTGGAACCCACCAGAAAGATGCGGCAGTCTGCTTCGGTAAGGACATGGAAACCCTACGGAGCAGTCCTACTCTGTCCTACAGGGTTGCTATGAGTGGGTTTGATTTTTTGGATTAGAATAATAGGAGTTCCTGGGTGTGCAAATGGTACAAGCACCCTGCCCCTAACCAAAAGACTGGAGATTTCAGTGGGCGCCTTGGTAAAAAGGCCTGGCGATCGACTTCCAAAAAAGCCACTGAGAACCCTACTCTGGCACACACGGGGTCTGAATCGACTCAGTAACAACTGGTTTTATGAGGACAAGGGAACCTGGGCTGTGGCATTCCTGCTGTAAGTGGGTCTTGTTTAAACGGACAGAATGGGGCCCTCCAGGATCTAACAAGGAAAGCACAATGGGCATTTCGCACGCAGGCGTTTGGGACCACGCCAAGCTGCCTGCGGCTGGGAAGCCCGGTCCCCGCGCGCGGCCGGCAGGGGGCGCGCGGCGGCACTCACAGCGGCCGAGCCTCTCCGCCGGGATGCCGATGCGCATGCAGGTGGCGGCGTCCGGGCTCTCGGGCAGCGGCAGCGCCTCGCACTTGGGCAGCTGCAGCTGCATGAGGATGAGCGGGTTGGAGCGCGCGATCGTGTACTCCTGGCGGCACAGGTCGCTCTCCAGCACCTCGCACTCGTCGCGGCACAGCTCGCGAGGCTTGGGCGCCCGGGACCGCTCGTCGCACAGCGGGAACACGAAGTGGCAGAAGGACGGGATGGCGAACTGCGAGCACTGGTCCGACAGGTGTGTGGAGGTGCCGATCATGGTGAACGCCGCTGCGGAGACAGGCGACACCACCGCGCGTTAGCGCCCCGCGCTCGCACCCCGCCCCGGGGCAGGGCTCCAGGGAGCACCTGGGAGCTCTGGTTTGCACCAGACACGGGCAGTCCCGGATCAAAGGGCTTTGCTTACAAACGTCAGAAAGAGGAAAACCAGGCTCAAGATGTGCCTTCCATGCCAGGATGCTTGCAACGTCTGGTACACCAACCCTTTCTTAAGCACCGACCATGCACTGCGGATTCTGCAAGCACAGGAAAGCTACTGGAAGCCTCTGGCCTGGATGAGATCTACAAGAGGCCCAGGACGGAGCTGGGGTCTTTCCAACACTGTGGCGTCTACAAGCGGAAGGCATACAGAAGACAGAAGAGAAAGTAGGGCGCTGGCAGCAGGTGACCAGCAGGGGACTTGGTGGGGTGAAACGCCAATGGGGCATTTGGTGAAATGGATGTATTTCGGGGGCGTGGTGGGCAAAGCTGAAAACTGGCGTGTGGTAGGAGGCGGCAGGGTGCAGAGTGGAAGGACACACCTGGAGGGGTTTGGGGACAGGTGAGAGAAACCAGGGTGGCTGGAGGAGGATCTGGTGGCGAAGTGGGTGGGTTGGTTTTGAAGGAGCGAGATTTTACAGGATGATTGTAGGGGATGGGAAGGAACCAGGTAAGGGAGAAACTTGAGTCTGCGGGAGAAAGAGGGAAGAAAGCAGGCGCCAGGTGTGTGCACCTGAGCGGAAACAGGACTGGAGTGTGGAGGCAGGAACACTGGTGGGAGGAGGGCAAAGTGTGAAGGGTCGGAGGCTTGCACGCCCTCCCCTCCAGACCCTCAGCAGTCAGGGCTCAAAGGAACCCACCTGCCCGTCCTGTACCCGCCCCTAAAAGTCCCATCCCGCGTCTACCTGTCTTTCTTCACTAAGAGAAAAGACCTGCTTACGATGACTTGGGCAGCTGAAGGAGAGGCTCTTTTGCTCACCCACGTGCTGAGCATGTGCCCTCCGATAGTGGGAGAAACCAGGGCGCTGTAACCCCTGAGACGTTGGAATTTAGCACCTGGGCTGCACCAGCACCCCCCGACTTGTATGTGCCGTACCAGGTATGGCCAGCAGGTGGCACTACAACCACTCAGTCCAAGGAGACATCCACACGTGGCGGGGGTTTGTTTTTAAAAGGCCGGTGGTTGGTGCCCTAGGAGTCAGAAGGGACTGACGGCAACAGGGTTTACAGGCTGCAGCCCAGTTCTAGATCTGTCTGTATTATGTACTAGATGGCAGTTACTTAGTCCTTTCTAGACCTGCTTCATAAAGTGACTCTTTGAGACTGCTGCACATTGGGGCATTCAAGTCGGTGTTGCTGCGAGATGCCATCCAGCTGGTTCTGACTCACAGCCGCCCCATGCACAACAGAACGAAACACTGCCCAGTCCTGCGCCATCCTCACAAACATTGTTAGGCTTCAGCCCATTGTTGCCAAAACCAAAAAAATCACACCCATTGCCGTCGAGTCGTTTCCAACCCATAGCGGCCCTACAGGGCAGAGTAGAACTGCCCTATAGGGTTTCGAAGGAGCGGCTGGTGGAGTTGAACTGCTGACCTTTCGGTTAGCAGCCAAGCTCTTAACCACTGTGCCACCAGGGTTTCCGAAAGCGTGTATAGAGCCTACAAACTAGCTTGACCTCTAAATAAGTCCATGAGCCGTCTAGCTGGGCTGGCTGGGCTCGGGATCTGGCTTCCAGGCAATGGATTTGATTTAATGAGCTGACAGCAGAGGGCGCTGCCCTGGACAAGAGGTTCATTGAGTTCATCCAGGGCCCGGCACCCTGCCAAGTGTCTACCCACATCATCTAGAGTCCTAGTTCCTTTTAGCAGACAGTGATATTGAGAAACAAAGAGGTTAAGAGGTTAAGGTACAGGGTCTCTCAGAGTTAGTGGAAGAACTGAGCTTTGAACCCAGTTCAATCCTATCATTTCGGATTGGGTGATTACGGAGAGGGCTGCTGAAAAATATGCAGGCCTTGACAAGGAAAGCTTGTTAAAGAATGCACAATATGTAATTCCTCTTGGGGCAATCAACTGACAGGATGTCACAGCTGACCTTTTAGGGTTTCTCCTCTCCTCCCTCAAAATTCATTAATGGATGGTTAACAGTTGTAAACGGTTAACACGCTTGGCTGCTGACTGGAAGGCTGGAGGTTCAAGTTCACCCAGAGGTGCCTAGGAAAAAAGGCCTGGCAATCTACTTCTGAAAAAAATAAGCCATTGAAAACCTCACAGAGCACAGTTCTACTCTGGCACACCTGGGGTGACTATGGGTGGAAATCTACTTTGTGGTGCTTTTTATCCCCCAGAAAGTACAGTTCCGGGCACCGAGGAGATCAAACAACTCATTTCTTCATTTTCATCCACACTCTGAATGTCACATGAAGGTTTCTTTGGGCCTGTCCCGTGGGAAAGCTTATAAAATCGCAGAAATCCTGTGATGTGTAGTTTGAACCAGGGCTTTGAACCAGTGCTTCTTTGTTCAGTCATGACCGGGGAAGCAACACCAGAACAAACCCGAATTTTTTAAATTTAGGGTAAACTGGAAAGGAAAAAATTATGGGTCAAAGCCCTGCTAGAAACTTAATCTCCCTCTTGGAATACAAGGGCAACATACACGTTGCATAGCAACCGAATCTCTTGCCTGTCAGACTTTGCACAGTTGGAAACAGCAATGCCCCACTCAAAGATGGCGGCCAGACCCACGTGGTTTGAATGTATGTTACTTTCCTCAGTCCTGGCAATAATCCAATCTCATGCATTGGGCTCCTGAAAGGGCTCACTACACCAAGTCTCTCATTCCAGGGCTTCGACCTGTGATTTTTCCCATTCCAGTGACGGTTCTGGTTCACCCACATTTTAAAAATTCACATCTGTTCTGGTTTCGCTTCATCAGCCGTGACTGAACCTGTTGGAACCAGTCTGAAGCCCTGGTTCGAACACGGAAGCGGTATTCTGCTCTCCCAAGAGAAAACCTCCACGACTGAAAAAAATCTTTGCTATTCTTAATGTCTGAACCACAAATAAGTCACTCTGGACTACCTCCAAATATTTACTTTTTTCAAAAAGCCACAAATTTAGAGAATCTTCATTCTAGCCTTTTATTTAAAAATGGTATACAATCCAGCTGCTTGGATATCTGAGTTGTTTGATCCTTTAAAAAGTTCCTGAAGAGATAATTGAGGGATGAAATAATGGCTCTCGTGCCTTGGATCACTGCTTGTAAATCATGGGGATGTACAGCCCATTTAGGGGGCTGCACATGGGGTGAAAAATGATACAGGAAAAGAGAGTAGGAACTCTCAGAGTACACAGCTCGTATTAAGGGGCTGCAACTGACTTTTCTGACTTTTCTTCTTGGATGAAACAGAACTGGAGAGAAAATGCCAAGTACATTGCTCTTTTTAAAGGTGAATGTTGTTTCACTTCTGTGAAGGTAAGTCCGCGTATACTGACTACACCATGATGTGAAGTATACTTTTTGCAGCATGCTGTGGGCCAAAAAAGTTTGAGAAGTTCTGCTTTAAATGGCATATAAAGCTTTTCCAGTTAAGAAATAACCAACGTTTTCGAAATATTTTCCGACTGGACAAAGATGGCACGTTTCTGGTTCCCGAATGTTCCATTACTGCCTTTTCATTTTGCACTGACGCCTCAGGGGGCTCTGTTTTAGCATGGCCAGACAGACCCTTCCGGGACACTGACCTAAGAACCTCTAGTCTGAGGATGAAAGGCAAGGTCAGGGGTTGCCCTTAATTTAGAAGAAGCTTTCAATGACACCTGTGTGGATTTCTAACTTCAATCCTCATTCTTCCCCACTTACCAGGCCAGCCCTTTGCAGCCCCTTCTGCCCCCACCAGAATCTCTTGGGGAGCCCCATATCCTCACCAGTTGATTTAAATGTGTTGCCGGGGTTGAGAACGACCATCTGGGAGAATCCCATTACCCTGAGGTGCTGGGGCATCTGGCGGCCTCAAAAGATTTTTCTTGTTCCTTATGGGGTTGGCAGAGAAAGGTGTATATTTGTGGGGAGAGCAGGGGCTGGAGGAGGTGTGCTTTGCTGGTCTTTGGTCTAATTAATTTTCTTACCTCTCAAGGGTTTTCCCACAAGGAAGACCACACATCAATTTGTAGACGGTGGTGCGCTGAGGGCTAACAAGCGGCCTGAGAAGTTCTGAAGAGGTGGAGGCTGAGCAGCATCATTCCTAAACCATCTGCTAGCTTTCTCAGCCGTGAACCAGATACCCAAAGACCTGCCTGTGTTCCCCAGAACACTGAGGAATGAAGGCCCGTGAGCGACTCTGCTCCAAAGAGCAGGTACCAAGCGCAGAAATTTTTTAACAAGACCCCGCTCAGAGCGTTTACAAGAGGCAGGAAGTGCAGAGCTGAGGTGAAGCACATCTCAGCAAAGGTCATGGGCCGTGGTTGGCAGCAGGGAGCTGGCCCTGGGGACCGAGGCCCTGGCAACTCTGTGAGGACGGCACAGTGCTTAGGACCTACACAGCGTGGCCAAATTGAGTGTAAAAGTATATTCGAAGCTATTTGCATTTGCTAATTTACAGATACAAGCTGAGAACATTTTAGGGCAAACCC